TTCAGTGGTGCGCTTTTGCTATTTGCAGTTCACCCCAGCATTTTACCTTTCCCGGTTTCCATGGAAACGATTCGGACTTAGTCCAAAAGTGAGGATAGGCTTCGTTTCCAGGAGCATAACTCAAAGAACCGTTTAATATTTTTCAACAAAACTTGGTAGATGTATGAAACAGATCCTAAAAGTGGTGCCTTTTGCTATGTGCAGATTTTTGGCATTTTATTTTTCCGTTTTTCCATGGAAATTTATTTTGGACTTCAGTCTCAAAAAGTAAGGATTGCTTTCCTTTCCAGAGCACAACTCAAAAACCGTATAAACTCATTTTTCAACAAAGCATGGTTGATATATGGCCGTACATCCTAAGTTGTGCCTTTTGATATTGCAGATTTTGGCATTTTTTATTTTTCCCGGTTTCCATGGAAACATTTCGGACTTAGTCTCAAAAAGTAAGGATTGCTTTCCTTTCCGGAGCACAACTCAAAAACGTCCGTATATAATATTTTTCAACAAACTTGGTGAAGATCATATCAAACACATCCTAAAGTTGTGCCTTTTGATATTTGCAGATTTTTAGCATTTTTATTTTTCCGGTTTCCATGGAAACGATTCGGACTTAGTCCCAAAAGGAGAAGAGGTGGGCTTCGTTTCCGGAGCACAACTCAAAACGTTCATCTATGTCTTGTAGCAAAGCTCTGGCAGATATGTGGTAGCAGATTAAAAATTGTTTGCCTTTGCATATTGGCAGATGGTACAGCAGGTTGTTATTTTCTCAGTTTCCATGGAAACAATTTGGACTTAGTCCTCAAAGGGAGGGTTGGTTTGTGACACGGAGCACAACGCGAAAAACTTCTTAATATCTTTCAGCAAAACTTGGCAGATATGGGGGGCGAATCCAAAAGTGGTGCCTTTTTGCTGTTGCAGATTTTTTGTCATTTATTTTTGTCATGATTTCCATGAGAGCGTTTTGCACTAAGTCTAAAATCAAGCTGGACTTTTAAGTAACTGTCAGATGATTTGTTCTTTCCAAGATAATGTGGGGGCCGGGGGATAAATATTTCCTGATGACTCTTGTTTTACCAAAGTTTATGACTTTTTAAAGGAGTCGTCATAAATATGCCCTAAGGAAATTTGTTAAACGCACTGCCATGTGCAGTTCTGGTATGCAGAAGAACAATTTAAATAAATTATTTAGACAACGTGCAGCCGGAGTCAGGCATAGCTGAGGGGGTCGTATCAAAATCTCCACTTTTTGAAAGCTGACAAACTTTGACTGTTTTACAGAAAGAGTTATAGTAGAGAAATGATGATGGAAGACTCTATAGAGCAAAAATATATTCCTTTCCTTGCGCATTTTGCGAAAACATGGATACAGAACATTCGTTGACCATATCCAAATATACCTCTTGCTTGAACTGAAATTAGCCTGACTTGCAATTGCTTGATTGACTGTCATGCTTCACGAGAGATCATGGATCATTCCTCACTGGCTGGCCTTGTCCGATTTGGCTCCTACTCATTAGCGCTGAAAATACTTGGGAAAGTTGCATCGTTTTAGTAGTACTCACTCACTCACTCCATTCAGTCAGTCACTCCACAAAGCGGAAAGGAAACATTAGTGTTTATATATTAGTAAATCATCAGCCTGGAAAATGTGTTGATATTTCCGTCATTTCATTTCGGTTTCAAACACCATGTCTAGAAAAACAATTTCTCTTGAAGCAGAGCTTTACATCGAAATTACCTCAACCTGCAGTCATTCGTACGGCGCCAACTCAACTCAACGAAGCACGATCTGGTGCGAAATGTACAGGATTTGGCACGACGTCACCAGCTTGAGAGCACATGTTCTGATGACATCACTGGTTCTGTAGACCGGGTAATTCATATCAATATATCTTGCTACGTCAAGAATGAAAGAGGAAATAAAGCATGTTTGTTTCAGTTTAACTATAAGGTCCATCATATGCTGTCATCATTCCCGGTATCATATAGCGATTTAGCTGCAAGACTGCGGAAGGCTTGGAAACTTGATCGGTATATCCCAGCCAATGCTGAAATGGCTTTAACAGAGCGGGGCATCAAAAGGGAAGCCGTTTTTCTGCGCATGTGTGTATATTGCCCGGTGGAATTGAGTCATGCACGATAATAAGGCGAGAACCCTTAGCCATAATACATAATTCAAAACAGTATATATAAATTGTTTGGCAGCATGACGGTGGTCGTATATGTATATCTGGCCTTTTCTGTGTTTTGGCAAGATGGTGAAATCATTTTTACCAGCGTTGAAAATAAAAACGACAACCTCAAATTCATTTCGTTTTGGCACATTCGGGCGAAGTGTTACATTGCGGAATGTTCCGATAGTACCTCAACAAAGACACGTCAACAGTGAGAGTCAAACGATAAAGCACATTTGGACACGATTACATATGGCATAAATGATGCCGGCGTATGACTGGAAGCGGAAGTGAAGAATATATTGAATTTATAATGGAATGATAGTTTCGTCTAATTATATGATAGTTTCATCGCATAGCCAGATGATTTCGTCTCATTATATGAATAGTTGGACGACGTTGCCGCGATAGTGAGATCTTACGCGGGCGTGGTTTCATCTCATTATGTGGCGGTAGTTCGCGGTATGTGATAGGAACATCTCATTATGCGATAGTGTTTCATCTCATTATGTGACCAGTTTCATCTAGTACCATGATGGTTTCATCTCATCATATGGTGGTTTCGCTCAGTATAAATTTGGACTTCAATAAATTGTATGATAGATTCATCTATTTCTGTGACAGTTTCATCTAATTATAACGATAGTTTCATCTATATATATGATTGTTTCATCTGACTAAATTATGGTTTCATCTAATTATATGATATTTCCATCTTAATTATGTGATAGGATAATGGCATTATATGATGGCTTGAACTAATTATATGGTAGTGACGGCGCAATAATATATAAGATAGTTTCATCCTAATTATATGATAGTTTCATCTAATTAAATGATGATTTAATATGAAATCGTATACAACATATTTCATCTAACTAGATCTTATTTTTCATCTAATTAGATATTTCCATCTACAAATAGATGATATTTCCTCAATCGTCAGATGATATATTCATATAATTATATGATATTTTCATCTACCAGAGTAGTCATATTATCATCAAAATTAGATAATACCATTATCTAATTAGGTGGAGTGGTTATATCTAAGTGGGTAATAGTTTTTTTTAATCTAATTAGATGATAGTTTTGTTTGGTTAGATGATTATTTCATCTAATTAGAGAAATCAGTATGTATATAAGACTCGATTGACTGAAGTCATCAGTTCAGACGAGGATGGATCATCTTGTCAAGTTTTACTTTGGTCATGGACTTTCTAATTCTGATATACTGGACAAGATTGTTTAGAGTATCATGGCATTTCCATAAGCAGACGTACGCTTACACAGTTCAGAGGATGTGTAATATTTACAGAAGAAACGCATCAAAGCGATTTGCTTGATGCGGCATTATACGATTAATGAAGCAAATGGGATTCACATCGAGCCGACTGCTAGGATACAAAATGATGCATTTAATTTAATGCTGTGTGCAGCAGGGATTTGTGATCAAATTCAAAGTGGTTTCCGTCACTTGATGCATATAGGTTCTCCAAATGCGCTGGAAGCTGGGAGAGGTAGATGTCCTACAACGTCAGGAAATTACGCAGACAAAGGTCCTAACTATGTATGGCATGTGGATGGTTTTGATAAACTTGCACCGTATAGTGTGTATGTATGAATGGCGTGATAGATGGGTTCTCCAGGGGTTTTATTACAATATGGCTTGAAGCAAATACAACCAATAGTAACCCGAGAGTTGTTGCATCATACTTTTTTGACTGGAAATTGCAAGAAAACGAGGAGGATGTCCATCATTGTAAGAAGAGCAGGGCAGAGGAACGCAGAACGGTCGTCATGTCCAGGCAAATGTTGGGCTATGAGACGACATCAAAGAGCCAGGAACCCATTTCTTGTTGGTTCTAGCAATCATAATCAACGTATTGAGCGAAATGTAGAACATCATTGAACACATGGGCGCTCAGATACTAGATGGATTTGTTCAACTTCTTCTTGAACTTACAAAATGTCAATTGACTTCAACTTGATTGTAGTTGTGTACATATAAATCTAGAATATAAGTTTGGAGTTTATTTTATCAACTTGAAATATGAGCAGTAAGTTTGAATTTTTATGATTGCCAGTAGTCATCCTTATAATCCTCTAGTGGTGTCATGCTCTATTGAATTCTGCAGGAAGCTATTGGCTACAATTTACCAGGATGCACCGACAAGTATTGTCCATTTGGTGTGGAATATTATCCACTTAATGTCCGTCACTGTGGCGGGATGCCGGTACTGGAATATCCCATCTCAGAAAATAGTTATGTTCCAAAGGCATGATGTTTAAAAGTGGGGTGAAAGATCACTGTCTAATAATATTGAAAAATAAGCCCGATCTCAGTTTACAATCTGCAAAAGTTTTGAGCAATATATCGTCTCAAACCCTAATCCTCTAGCTTTTTCTTTTTGAATTTAGCTTCACCGATCTTATCAGTAAACAATGGTGACGGACGCAAACTGATAGGCATCAATGGAACATCATAACGCTTCACAATACTTTTTGTGTAAGTATGAATAACTTGATATGCATTTAACTGTTTTAAGTGAGATTTGGATGCTTCTAGCATCGTTTTAGCAATGGGGATGCGCTTTATGGACAACTCTGTAGTATGTTTTTAAACACATTAGTATGGATGGATAAATAATGATGAGCTTTATGTAGAAGTCCCCTCAGAAAACCCACAGTTAAAAAGGTCCTACGGACGCCATGCTTACTTCTACATAATCATCACGGGTCCGTTTGCATCCTACAGATCATTGTTGTTTTCAGAAGAACTGAATGCAGCCGCCCGTCTCTGGAATATATGGCTCTCGGCCAGGGCCTAGATTTTCGAAGCTCTCATAACTAAGACCGGTCGTAAGAAGTTATGTCAAAAGTTAAGATAATCTTAGCGCGACCATAAGAGAGATTTTCGAAACGCTCGTAAGTCTGTCGTAAGGTCAAGGTAGATACGACAGCTGTCGTAAACCGTATCCAGGGAATCCCCGATGACGTCACGGAATTCCCCTATGTAAATATAGCAGACGTCAACATGGACACCAAACGTACCGAAGTTGCCGAAAGCACCTGTGTGAAAAGAGCCAGGAAAGCCAACTGGACGGCCTCCGAGATGGAGATTTTAGTCTCGGAGGTCGGTCTACGTTCGGCTGTGCTCTTTTCGAGTTTTACCAGCACTGTGAGTCTAAAGACCAAAAGAAAATGCTGGGAGGAGGTGGTCGAGAAGTGAGTTGTTTTACTGTCAGCGACCGTGATAATGATTAGATTTATCCGGTTTAAATTAAGATGCAGTTTGTAATGTGTTATAAAGTTAAATACTGCTAATTAATATAACGTTATTAAAAATGTAATGATGGAAACATACAAGTTAAAAAGATATCATAGATGAGTAAAATACACTGCCCAATAAGTTGGCAATAACAATATTGACAAATTCATGATATTTATATATATGGCTGACTTTCTTTCCTACCTTAACTAGTACACAGTATAAAAGTAATATAATGTTATATGGTTTTCCTATATATTAATTAGGTAGAGGTAGCTCTTTCGGGAAAGTGGTATTTCATGTAACATTTTTTGGTAGTTATTGAAATTATGTTGATGCTACTAATCTGATAAGTTTTCACCAATATGTCCTGTTTCTCATTTAGAATAAATGCCAACAGCTCTGTAAAAAGAGACTGGGTGGAAATAAAGAAAAAAGTGGACTGACATGAAGTAAGTGAAAACATGATGTTTATTGAATTGACAGTGGGAATAAGAACATGAGTAATCAATGTGTAGGCCTACTGTTATTACATATAATAAGTACATAAATGTCAGATGAATCACTGATTGCCAAAGCTTCAGTTATTTTGATTTGTGCACATACTACAATGTGGAAAAATAATTATTGAATAACATATAAATTTCAATTATGAATATGACTCTTCAGAATAATTGATGAAATAAAATTTCGCTCTAACAAAGAAGCCAGACAAGGAAGCGGGCAGCTCACTGTAGGCGGGAAAGTGTGAAGACAGGAGGAGGGCAGGCTCCTGTGATGGAGCTGAATAGTCTGGAGGAAATGGTAATAATAACTATTAATAACAGTTGAACCATTTATGATGTCATATTAATTATTTACTTCTTATATTAAAGTTTTTGGTCTTCTATAGTGACAAAACATATCACACAAAAACAAAGTTACAATTTCAAATGAGTGATCCCTTCATTTGTGTTATAATATTTATTTAACAATTATTATTGAATTATTTGTCTCTATTTCCCTTTACTAGGTGGTGTCTCTTATTCCAAATTGCCAGCTCGAAGGCTGTGAGGGAGGCCTGGAGAGTGAAGAGTGTAAGTTCATGTTGTAGTAATTCAGTATAGCAGTAAGTTATAATTATATGAAATTTAAACAGTATAATACTCAACATAGAAAGATATGATAGAAATCTATTGTAACCACTTTTAACATTTATAAATGAAATGGAACTGTCCTATGAAAAAAATATCATGCAACATTTACAATATAGAAGGGAATTGAAAATGACTTTGTTTAAGTACTAACATTACCAACATTAGATGTTAACAATATCACCTTGTTTTTGCAGGTGTGACTCTATCAGAGGGCATTGCTGCCACTCCCCTGCTTGGTGTGTACTTTGTGTATACTCCTATCAATCTTTTTTTGAATTCTTGTACACACATTTAAACCAATGTGTAATATTGATCTTTGTTAACTCATGTAGTTAAATAATATGTCCACTTAAGTGACATGTAATGCCCGTGGGAAAGTTTCTCTTTTATTTTATTAATTTTTAAATAACATTGGAGAACTACGAATCTGAAATAACAAGTTATAAATGACATAAATGATAATACAGATTTACAATTATTTCAGATGCTACAATAGCAGACACACAAATTGAAGCCCTGCATATGTCCAGCCCGGAGTCAGTGAAAGGCAGGTGTAGAACTTACATGTACTTTATCTATGCTGAAACTATAAAATTAAGAATTCCTAGTGAATGAACTAAACACATGTACACATTAATGGAAAATGAATTTTATAAAGAAAAAGTCACTTGCTTTACCAAAGACTTTAAAGGTAACATGAGATATAGCTATACATTAATCAATTAATGGAAATGAAAAAAATGTTGATTTATGGCCATCAAATTTCAGATGCTATGATAGCTCTTGAAACGGTTATGGCAATTCCAGCTGCATTAGGAGGTAATGGTACAGTGATGAAATAAGTATATATTATTAAATCGTAACTGATGATGTCAGTGCTTACTCAAATGGGATCAAACCAAGACTGTCATATCTAATTATATACAGTTGTTTAATGACAGATTCATATCCTACACTTTTTAAAGGGTCAATAGGTATTGTAATGGACTGCTTAGTACATATCTCACCATTTCACTATATGCTTTGGAAACTACTTTTGGATGATAGAATACATTAATTGTGAACATGGAGCAAAATGAAGGATGAAATGGTTACATATAAATCAATTCTCTGTGTTTCAGCCCCAGTTGAGAAACCAAAGGCACATAAACAAACTCCAGCTTCCACCATGAGTGGTAGGTTATTCGAGTAATATTGCTCATGTAAATATAATTTTTCAATAATTGCGTAGGCTTTCAAGCATTGTCAATATAGATCCACATTCTTTAATTTGTGAGTGAATTAATACAGATTTGGAAAAATGTTTCATTACCTTTTAATTATCATTAGCTGGAGGTGCTGGCTTCCCTTTTGACACTCAGAATGAGCTGCTTAGTGTGGAGAGGAGGAGACTGGCAGTGGAGGAGGAAAAGCTGGCTCTTCTGAAACAGATGAACACATGTCCGGCTGATTTCTCGCCAATCATTAAATTTTATTAAGTGATTAAAGATCAATATTATCTTTAACAGGATACTGTTTTTGATATTAAAAGTGATGAGGTCCCTCAGATTTAAATTCAGAGCGTTATTGATCCTTTATATATTATACACTATTTTTTAGGCATAGGGTAACAGAGTATGACAAATAGTCTTTGTGCTTAGCTTACATCGACATGTATTTTTAGCAAATACATTTTCAATGAGCTGCCTCCTGACACGGTACCCGTCTTGTGCATGACAAGGAGCAGGGATAGTGTCATCTGCATCATCCGTGTCGTCCTCGTCAACAGGTGGTGTGGGTAATCTCAAGTCAATGGCAAAGTTATGCAGCTGTGCAGCTGCATACACAATCTTGTGGCACTGTTTTACCCCATGCCACAGGCAGCCTGCAGACTTGTGGATGCATCTTTGAAAAATAACATGTCATTAGATAAATTAAGTAGTTACCAGTAGTACTTCTTCTGACTATGAAAATATATCCATAAAAGCTATGATAATTTATTGTACACTATACAAAAAACAATTTCAGGGTAAGTTTACGTTTTTTACTTTAAGCTCATGTATGAGATATATGTGGTGCTTGACAAGACTGATATTAGATACCTAAATCTGGACTTCAAGAGACCAAAAGCTCTCTCGATGGTGTTTCGGGTTCGACAGTGGCTACTGTTGTATCTTTCCTCCGCACGGGTCTGAGGCTGGGCCAGTGGTGTGAGCAGCCACGGTCTGCATGGGTATCTGATAACATACACCAAACATATCAACATTAAATATATAAATTTTGTTAATATTTATGTAATATTCAAGAAGTTTCAAGTTAGAATCTTAGTTTATATATATGTCATGAAATATAGAATCAATATTATTTATTCAGTATCAAAGGCCTCCAGCCCAGAGTACATTTGCATATATTGTCAAGTCACAAATTTTATCATTAACATGAAGTCACTGCAATATAAATAAATACTTACCCAGAATCTCCTAGTAACCATCCATCGTCTTTATGGGCTTCCAGGTGTGATCCAATTCGGCTGTTTGCAAATATGAAGGAGTCGTGTGTAGAACCAGGCCATTTACAAACAATATTCAGGAAGCTGAAAATTCAATTTTTTTATCTGTATTAATAGTTTAAAAATTATCTTTGATAACAAAATTTGCATTAGTTTTTTCTTCATTTAGAATTAATTAAATATTATTATGAATACAAGTATTTGAAATATAATGTTAATAGCTTCAGATTCATTTTGTGGGTGTTGTTTTCATTAATTTGAAGTGCATGATATCACTCATGTAATGAAGCAGTACGGTGTGTATTCAAGTAAAATATGTAACAGCCATTTTATGGGCGCTTCATTTACGCATTTGAACATAAAGTTTTTTATGTTATTTCACTGGAAAACGTGAACAAGTTTATGTTTGATACTTTGTGGAAATTTGATGTGGTGGTTATGCAAGTATTCCACATTTCTAAATCTTCGAAAAATCATTCCATTAGCTACAAATGGGAAATAAAAGATTTTATAATAACTTTGACGATCCCTAAACGTGCCTCTTGAAATGTTTAATTTGGAAACCTAAACAGTGCCCTGAGTGTTCATTGGTTGAAGTTGGTTACTTTCAATGTCAAGGACTCAACCTTCGATGTGTAGCGTGTGTTGTGAATGTGCTGGGAAAAGTATCGTTTCATTGCATTTGATTTTCATTGAATTGTATTGAGAAAACATGTAGTCGTACCGCATGTCAGGGTCACAGATGGCCTGTATATTGATTGCGTGATAGCCCTTCCGACACACGTAGGCGACCTCTTCATTTGCAGGGGGGCGTTTGATGGCCACTATAGTCCCGTCGATACAGCCAAGCACATTCGGAAAACCGAATTTCCTGTGGAACTTCTCTTTTAGTTGTCTCAACGAAGACCTGTCTTTGGGAAACTTGATCAAATCAAGGACTTTACAAAGTTGTTCAATAGTGTTTCGAATCGCGATCGATACGCTGGATTGCACAATGCCGTGCATATCCGCCAGCTCAGACTGGAAACTGCCTTTGGCAAGAAAGCGGAGGGTAACCATCACCTGTATTTCAGGTGAGAGGGGCACCGAACGCTGGGTCTCCCGAACCAAATCAGCCTCAACAAGAGATACTAATTTAAAGATAGCATGACGAGGCATTCTATAACGAGAGATCAGTTCATCGTCGTCCAATGTGTCTAACTTACGCGAACGGTCGCGGAAAATCCGGGGTTTTCTGTAAACTTCATTAAGATTATCTTCACAATCAAACCCAAGACCAATGTAGGTTGCCATCTTGAATAAGGTGTAAGTGCGCGCAACCTTAGTTACGACAGGTATATACCTATCTTAGATATTATGATCTTAGCTAAGATATCTTAAGTTTTACGATCGTTTCGAAAATAGCCTAAGACAGAAAGACAGATGCGACTACCCATGAGGTTACGACTATCTTAAGCTCAACAAGAAGATATGTCTTAGAACACTTCAACACAGAAATCTAGACATTTTTGTTAATGGTGGTATTATTGTGTATGGTGGTATTGTATGGTGGTATTATTGTGTATGGTGGTATTAGATGGTCATGAGGGATGGTTCTTAATTCTTTGTACTCAAGGCTGCTACATTTCTGTTGTGGCACAACCTGTGCTTCTCATAGATTCAGATTGTTAAGTTACAAACATTAAAACAAACTTGTACTGGGTATTTGTTATGAAAGAATATAATATATATATATATCTATATAGAAATAGAAAAAATATAGAAAAATAAAAACAGGATGCTTTTTCTCCAACATGTTTCGTTCTTTACTCTTCATATATATATATATATATATATATATATATATATGTCCCCGTGTCACTTTTTCCTAACAAATTCACCTGAAATGACATCAAACATCAACTTATATATGATGTTGTACGCTACCTTTGCTATCTGCCTTCTTCCCTGTGACTGGACCTGAAAATATCAAACAAACATTTAATCAACTGTCATATGTGTATGGCATATGTTCCAATCTCCCTTCACGGTAATCTCCCTTGACAAAGACTCTTACATCTGGCAGTTAGTGGTTTCGATTCTGGTAGAATGGTGTTCGTGAACTCGGAGATTTAGTGCTTATGTACTTGTCAGAATATTGTCATATTGTTTTACATACAGCGGGTAAATGAACAAGGTTCACATGCATTTTCCATGACGTTCATTTACTGTTTGTTAGTGAACAGTGTTGTTATTTACAAATAGAGCGACGAAGATCCAACTGACTCTACTATGGTTTAATGTGACTAAACCTAGAACCTGAATATCAAAACAATTCATACACACAAAAACGGGACAGTCATGTCGGGAAAAGACTCGGAAATTGGATTTCTGAAGTATCTGTGACACCCCACGAGACCAGATTACAAGCACGTGGTAGTTGAAAACATTCAGAAAAACTACTTTACACATAAATATTATAGATTTTCATAAACACAAAATCCTGGACATCAATATTGAGTAGTGACCTCACCTGTGACATCCCTCGAGACCACATTTCAAGCACGTGGTAGTTGAAAACATTCAGAAAAACTACTTTACACATAAATATTATAGATTTTCATTAGCACAAAATCCTGGACATCAATATTGAGTAGTAACCTCACCTGTGACATCCCTCGAGACCACATTACAAACACGTTGTTGTTTACGTTGCCGTAATTTATGGCCTTTTGGATTAATTGATAATATATCTCGCAGATAAACAACACGAAGTTGAAATTTGCTTTTATCGTAAATGTTAACAAGGTTCAGTGTTTTGATCTATTTTCTACACTGAGATGTGAGTGTGTGAAGTTGGACATCCCCACATTGAAGGTGTCAAGGCTGTAAACACCACTGGCTTGACAACCAGACCAGCTACGACTGAGTACAATCATGTACAAGCTGCATGCCATGTGTTTGTCAATCAGATATTGCCACGTTTAACAAAGTTACGACATCCCCACATTGAAGGTGTTAAGACTGTTAACACCACTGGCTTGACAACCAGACCAGCTACGACTGAGTACAATCATGTACAAGCTGCATGCCATGTGTTTGTCAATCAGATATTGCTACGTTTAACAAAGTCACGACATCCCCACAATGAAGGTGTCAAGACTGTAAACACCACTGGCTTGACAACCAGACCAGCTACGACTGAGTACAATCATGTACAAGCTGCATGCCATGTGTTTGTCAATCAGATATTGCTACGTTTAAGAAAGTCACGACATCCCCACAATGAAGGTGTCAAGACTGTAAACATCACTGGCTTGACAACCAGACCAGCTACGACTGAGTACAATCATGTACAAGCTGCATGCCATGTGTTTGTCAATCAGATATTGCTACGTTTAACAAAGTTACGACATCCCCACATTGAAGGTGTCAAGACTGTAAACATCACTGGCTTGACAACCAGACCAGCTACGACTGAGTACAATCATGTACAAGCTGCATGCCATGTGTTTGTCAATCAGATATTGCTACGTTTAACAAAGTTAAGACATCCCACGGCTGCTACAATCGCCTCGGACTTATCTCTTGAGACAAACGTCTTACAGTATTTTCTACACATGAACCTACAATGCACAAAGACTGAAAGAGGATTGTATCTATTCACATTTTAACAAAGCAAGTACCTGCTGCCTAATCCCTACAGTAGTCGTTGTCCATCCTGCTCTGTTCACAACCTTATCTACTGGTTCTAACGGTACAAAATATAGAGATAAACAAACTTACCCCGCTACCGTCCTCACACAACACACACATCTCACTGACAGCCTGGAAATGTCTGACTAGCGACACTGGTCGCTAAGCTGCGAGTTATGACGTCATTGTGACGTGTCATATCAGGAGCAACACCGAGTTTGGCGCTGGATTGCTTGTGGTGGTATGTTCAACCGGGCAACCCGCCACACTAATAAAGAGACACCCCCACCCCTCCCCCATCCAGCCACACCTCCCTATTTCATGCACGGTGGTATGAAACCTACCCGAGTTACAACAATAGTCAACATTAACTAAACTCCTTCATAATGTACTACACGGTGCTGGAGATATAAATAAGTAGCGAGATCAAAGGCACCGCTGGCCTCGATGTTCCACATTCACAAGACAACAGATGCACTGTTAGTATATGCACTGAATACCAGTGATAGGGCATCACGTGATGTGTATTTGTCTACTGAGGTCTAAGTGTTACTCGAGATATATGCCTAGATATATCTCTATAACAATTATCACCAAAAGACACACTGATTAAGTATTGTACTTTTAACACAGAATCATATATAACGACGTCAGAACATTTCATCCTTGTACAATACGAATTCTTTTGTGCAATCGCCTCAGCGAAAAATATTTTAGCTATGCCTTCAATATACTGTCGACATTTTAAGCCCCAATAACATGGAGCAAACGAAGGTTATGTTGCGTTCTAGTTGATGCTCGCGATAATGCTCCTGATATCAGTCATAGGATTGTCTGTTCAAGACTCAATATTTACAGATATAGACATTCCAAAATATTACCAGCTAAGATCCTGTTTAGAACTGGTCTTCCGTGACCAATGCTTGTCGTAGAGGCGACTAACGGGATCGGGTGGTCGAGGCTCACTGGCTTGGTTGACACGTGTCATTATTAAGCCAATTGCATAGATCGATTCTTATGCTGTTGATCACTGGATTGTCTGGTCAGACTCTATCATTTACAGACCGCCACCACAGGCTGGAATATTTGCCAAGTGCGGCGTTAAACAACAACCAAACTAGACTATTGATTTATTATTGATTCTATAGCCAACTGAACACATGAGAATCGTCAATTAGCAATTTTGTTTCGAGTATTTGGTTGACAGATAACATTCTGAAATTTTAATAACTGGAATCAAATCTCAAATGTGCATTGAAAAAACAAGCTTCTTTTAAATTGTTTCCTTGTATACGTATGTAAACTGAAGGACAAAAATGGTTTCTCGGCGTTAACAGTGAGGGGGATATTATACCTCCCTTACTCACCTACTTTGACGTTTTCTTTAAAACCAAACCAGACCAGGGTGCCGTTCAACTAACCGATCTTAGCCCTATGCCAAATGTAAGCCCTAAAAATCCCAATCTTAGCGTGACGTTACGATCGGCTTACCGTCCAACTAACCAATCTTACCCAAGTCAATCGTAAAGTTAAGATCAAAGTCTAAGTTGCTCATGACCAACTTGGGATCGCTAAAATCAATCGTAGAAACCAAAATGGTGGCTTTCATATTCTATGTGAAGAAGTTGAGCGAGCATTTCATCGTGAGCGGGGACAGTGGGGTAGCCTAATGGTTAAGCGTTGGCTCGTCACGCCAAAGACCCGGGTTCGAGTCCCCACATGGGCACAATGTGTTAAGCCCATTTCTGGTGTCCCCCGCCGTGATATGGCTGGAATATTGCTAAAAGCGGCGTAAAACTAAACTCAGTCAGTCAGTCATCGTGAGCGTCCCCTAAAAACCCCAAAGAAATGAATTTGTTTATTTCTGTGGTGTAAACAATCACTGCACTGAAGCCTTACAAATGTCAGGCCAGTCTGACCACTGTCGTCATGGGAACACAGCCGAGAGAGAGTCGGTGTAATACATTTGTACAACAATATTGCAACGTCAATAGTTAATAATAGGGACGGGTCATGAAATGAACAATGTACAAAGGATACAAATAGTTTGATTTCACTGCGCTTATTTGGTAGGAGATTCTGAATTTTTAAGGCAGGCTCACGGGTTTCAAGACCACTGACAGATTCTAGATACGTTATCAGATGATATTACTATGAAAAGAAACAGGTAGAAGGGGTCGTATCAGAAGCAAATTCAGAACGGGTGTCGCAGACGGTGGTTAGGGTCGGGCTTAGTCTGTCTCACAGTCCCTGAACAACATTATTTTCCCTACTGCCTAGCTCTCTCTGCAGTGCTAAAGCCCTAAATAAAGCAAGTCTAGATTTCCTCAGGTTCTGAGATCTCTGGTCTCCTAGGGCTCCTTTTCAATATAAATGGGCTTGTTTGTTACTATCAAATTATATATATTCAGAGACTAAGCCTTAGTCTAGGTCGGGCTGTGTGATAGAGATATAAGCTGAGATAAGATAATCCTTTAGGGAATTAAACTGGGAAACAAACGGCATGTCATAACAATTTACAAATAATATCCAGTCGTCGATCTGTGGGTGGTCATACCACCTATATATTTTTGAGACATTTAATAGGATAGCTGATTTAAACTTTTCCATGGGTATCATACCCTTTTACGTATCTCAACATAAACTTTATGATCAATAGATGAGACATATTCAACACAGATGGAAAAGCACAAAATATCTTTGACATGACCCATTGTGCTTGTAGGCAGGACGTGCATTTCATGCCAGGTGAGTCAACGGTCCGTCCTCATACCTGGCTGAGTGACCTAATTGCCATCTATAGTCCGATCTATTGTTTTGAGCAGCTATTCGTATTTTTCTTCTAGGTTTTGCCCTATTGTACGAGAAACATGCTTTTCTGGATATACTATTACGCATCCCTCTGAATGCCCAGTTAGGCCGATGTTCGTTTTTTCGATATATGCTATTTGTAAATTTGTCAATTTTAGGCATACAGAGTAACATCTTAAGTTCAGTTTTTTATCTATTTCCGACAGTACTTTAATATTTTGCTCGAGGTGTTTTCTCAACGTTTACACTTGGTTCCAAAACTACTTCCTCGCATTTCTCTGTCTCTAGCACGAAAGAGTCTCGATCTAAGCTTGGTTCGGATCGTAATGTCCAAGGAGCGTCTGTTAGGGTCTCTCGGGTGGAAGTTCAGGATGGTGGACAAGAGACGGAAGACAAATTAAAGTCAGCGGTAGAGACCATAATGGAATAATGGTAGAAATGGTCCACAAAATGTAAATCACGTGACAGAACGCACATCGGGACCGAGTGGCCAATGTTCCCGATGTGGAGACCCGCTCTGTCACTTACACACATTCAGAAGTCGGACGGCGATTCTTCCTCGTCGACGTAGTCTTTGGTGAGGCGACGGCCTTGGCCGACGCCCGACTAGCCGAACAATCCGTCCGCTTCTGTCGATGATCTGGGCCCGTCTCGTCCCCTGACTGGTTTCCTGCTTGGTCTCCCGAGTGAACGAACGAAGTTAAATGTTTAACGTCGGTTTTAGCAAAGAAGAGGGGTAAAGCGCTGCCGAGGGGAGGCTGTTTATGGTGGGTATAATTTAGTTGAAGTCACAGGGGGCTTGTAGCGCTAAAACTGCCATCAAGGCATATACTGGTACTGACGGGGTCTTAGTACTATATATAAAGGCCCGTTAGAGGCAGTATATACCTTGATGGCAGTTTTAACATTAACTTCAATAATGAAATAATGTGGCGAATATATATGAAGTTTGCTTATATCTGAGGTGGGCGGGAAGTAAGGTGTTTGTATATGATTCAAATACATATTTAACTACGAGTAGAAAGTAGTTTTGATTTTCTAACTTGATGAAAACAAACCATAATCTCATTAATTCTTTAACAGACTTTAGCCCGTGATGTTACGATTATTAAAAATGGCAGCGGCCCTGTCAGGAACATCCGACAGTCTGAAGAATAAATGCTATTTAGGTTTATTTCACCGAGTTACAAAATCAAAACTACTTTCTACTGGTAGTAAAATCTGTTTTTCTGATTCATGTCAATTTTCTCTCGTGGAAGCGAGGTGGGTGTCAATAACACAATACTTAGAATATTATTGTCACTTCCACTGGCACCTCGCTTCTGAGAAAATCGTTATGCTTCAAGTTGTGTCATGGAAAATCTTTTAGGTCATCAATCGTGTAATATATCGTACTACAACTAGTAAGCAGTTTTGATTCTTTAACTTCCGAGAGGCGATCTGGGAACACATTTAAAGATATCGTTCCAAGCTTCCACAACGCTCGCTTCGCACTCACAAACATAACCCATTTAGCACGAACTACGAGGTCCGGTGGAAATTAGTGCGTGGTGACACCATCACTCGACCCCCTAGGAGAACAACGCAACGATTGATGGCAACGCAACGATTCGTTTTGCCTCGGGTAAGTTTCGTTGTTCAGACCATCCTTTAATGTTGGAATATGGGCGAAAAGTAAATATAAAACAACATGAGCGATTCTGCCCTCTGTGTATTGTACTTACCATTGAATCAAAGTACCACATTCTTTATTGAATGTTCATTTTACAATGATCTGAGAAACAGCCTGCTACAACAATACTACATAAATAATCCATGTGAAACTAAATTTATCAACTTATTATTGTCTTGCAATTCTACAAGTGTTAACAATCTTGCTGAGTTTATATTTTTTGCATTGACAAAAGAGCGAAGTTGTCGAATATAGGGTATAAGATTAAATGAGACATTGTACATGTTAGTATACAGCTTAATATTATATATGGCGCTGGATTGTATTGTCATCTTCATAATTGTGTAGAACGGGTCGGTGGCCTTGTACGAAATTAACTCTCACTCACTAGATATAACCTTACGATGCCACATGCTTAAACTAAACGTGACAAAATTCACTTTTCACCCAAAACATTGAACATTTAAAACGTGTTCACCACTGCAATTTCGACTAGGCAAGTCGATAATCCTTTCGTTAAAGCCTTAAACAATCATTACTAAAACAACACCTAACATCAAAGACTACCGCCAGTCGCCTTAACGCCCCATGAAACACTCATGCCGCCCCCATACCCGCTATAGCAATTGGCAGAGCAGAACAATCATTTACCATCACCCACCAGTTATCTGCCCTTGCG